TATAATAAGACTTGTTAGTTCAGTGTACTATTAGTTGAGAGTTAGATGAAAATGTTGTGATAAAAATTGTGATTTTCAGACAAGTTCCTGTCCAGCATTAGCAATATCTTCTTCAGAGTCGATTTGTGATGATTCTTCTGAACTAATCGAAAAAAAAAATATTCCTGGTCCATCTGTATTTTGTGCTTCTGCTGAAGATTTACAGTTTAACGACGATAAAAAAAAGTAAGTGAAGAACATGGAGTAACATTTCCTGTTGGGAAGCAATAAAATGTTTTTCTAGAACAATTTTGTAGTTTAATGGAAATGACTGTAGAAAAGTTGAATTTTGACATTGATTTTATAGAATGTCATGTAACAAATCCAGTAGAAATAGTGAATCCGATGACGACAGTATTCATGAAAATTCTGCCGAAGCAATTGCATCCTCCCTATTCAAGCAGTTCTCGACAGCTTACAAACCACGTTCAGCTGCCGATATACAGTGGCTTGTTTCTTATGCACAAGCACCTCAGAGGGTACTTTTTTTCTATTTTTTTAATATTATCTTGCATGTATGTGTATTAAAATAGCTGAACTTTTTTGTAGCTTCTTCCAATGCCAAGTGATATAGCGGTGTTTTTCGATGAAGTAGGTAATGACGGTCGACCAATTTTCTTTCGCGGTTCAGAGAATTGGGCACCTCCAAGGAAGCAGTGGATTTTCCGACTGCATCCAGAGCTTCAAAGGTTTTGTGTAACTAATTGATCATAATTTTATCAGATGTTCCATAAAGTGTTGTATTTATTCCTAATATTGAACATGTTTTACTAGACTCGAAAGACCAAAATTTAACGGATTTAATATTATATTATTCAGTTTTATTATACAGATTTTTGAAGCAATCTACATTAGGTGACTACTTTTTTCAACGCGTACTATTTTTAGTGTGCGAAAGCTTCTTGAACAACAACAGTATCGTTGTGGTGGATGTGGTATTAAAGTTGCTAAAGTGTACTGTCGTCGTATGCGTTATTGCGATTATTATGGCAGGGTATTTTGTCAGCGGTGTCATCAAGGTGCGAGAAGTCGTATTCCCGCACGTATTGTATATCAGTGGAATTTTAAGTATGTTTATCTACTTATCATTTAAAAATTTTCAGGGATATTAAAGACTAAATTATTAAATTATGTGAGTTGTTATTTGAATGATTCTTAGCGTAAGGAAAGTAATGTATTAATGTTAATAGTAAATTGTATTTTGCAGAGAATATCCTGTATCCGATATAGCATATCGTTTCTTATTAGATAATCATCGACAACCGGTGATCAACGCATCAGCGATTGATTCTCGTTTCTACAGCAGAATTCGTCGGTTAAAAAAAATTAAAGAGTTACGAATAAAGCTTGTACATATTTGGTCTTATATACGACTTTGTAGTACTGCTAAAGAAACAATTACAAAATATGGGAAGTAAGTGTTGGTGTCCTTTCGTTCGCACTTTATTAATAATTTCAAAATTATTTGAGGATATTCGATGCCTTTCTCAACAAAGCAGTTTACGAATCGGTTTGATGTAAATGTTAATATATCACCTCATAAGCAGTGTTTTTTTTTTTTGGAAACTGTGCTTTAGACTATCCTATAAAACTATGAAGATAAGTAAAGTTAGAAATGATGCTCTCTAAGAATCATTGAGATATTATTTTGCATAATTAAACTTTTGATGAATGTATCAATCAAATGGACTCAGTAAAAGTCTAAACGTCTTTCAGCTTATACGCTACATTTTCAACAATACCAAATTATATGTTGTCAGATGCGGATGTCTACTCGGTGGAAGATTTAGAAAATGTACGAAAAGGAGAACTTTTTCGAATCATTGCTCCTCTTGTACAATACGGACAATATCACGTTGAAGGATGCGAGGTTAACTATCCTATCCATTGTTCTTTTTATATCATTTTATTTACTGTGAAATATTTTTGAATAATTTTAGCATTGCCGTGCTCAAGCATTCGTATGTGAACTTTGTGACCAAAAGAATGATTTGTTATTTCCATTTCAAATTGAATATGTTAATCGATGTGAAGAATGCGGTTCATTAAGTCATAAGGAATGTGCTACCAAACGGCGAAAAGACGGAAAACCATGTCCTAAATGTTTGCGAATTCAGCAAAACCTGTTAGTTTATTTCCTTGGCTGCAGTCAAATTGGTATTGGAAAAATGAATTAACTTTTTTACATAAATCATCACTCGTCAGCTGCTTCAATAAATTTGTGTAGAACTTGCATCGTAACTATCTATAACTTATATAGTTTGATGAGCACGTCGCTTTATCTTTCGAACTTAGAAATTCTTCGGCGGGAGCCTTCAAAATTTTTGCCTTTTTTTTACAAAATAATTTTGCATCCAGTGATATTTTTGTACTAAATTTTAAGTGAGAGGCATCGGTGTTATTCGGAATGGTCTTTGACAGCAGCTGAACAACAAGATTCAACGATGCCATCATTGGATGACTAATGGAAGTGTTGTAATTTAAGAAAAAGTTATCCAGGATGTACAATTTTTTTTATTTTAGATTGCTATTTTCCTCTTAATAATCCCTGTCTAAATGCTTTGAAATTATAACTAAATTTTCGCGGATTGCAATCGTAACTGATTTTGAAGTAACTTTCCATCTCATCTCATCTACTTTTAGAAAAGACTATAATTACCTATTTCGATTCTTTTCCTTTTCATTCGATTTCAATACGGATGTTTGATGAAAATGACATTTTGTTTATATATGAGAGGTCACCTGTCTTTATTGTACTGTGATGTATTTTAGTTGTGTTGCATCAGAAGACATCATTATCTTTTGGATGTTACGTAAATAGGCTCGCGATAACTATAAAGAGCAAAATTTTTTGATGTTATTTATGATTTTTCACTTATAAGTTTATCTTTTTGCTGTGATCCATGACTTAGTTCCTTTTGATTGGTCTTTTGTTTGAATAGTTTTATTAAGCATATGTTTTATGATCGGCAATGTTGCTGACCTACATGATATGTTACATCTATGATTTCATGCCTTTTAACACAATTTTTTTTTGCAAATGGATTCATGCTTAGAAATGTATACTTTTTATTTTTAGTATGGCGATATTGTTAGCATTTAAGTATTTGTGTAATACAATTGTGTTGTCTTATCATAATTTGATTCATCATCGGGAGTTTCAATATGACCACTGTTGTATTTGCCATTTCTCACTTTTTGTAATTCTCCCCCGCAATAATTAAAATAGATGTTATGGATTGTCAATAAGTCTTTGTATATTTGTTCATTTTTCATAGTTGTCAGTTTGTCAGCCATGCAATTGTAGCAAACCAGTCCTTGTTTTTCCTCGACTGAAAAACAAGCATAAGAGAGAAGAAAACAATGGAGAAGTTACATTTATAATTTTTTGTTTTTCACACTTCCGTATTTTGGATTTTATTTTATATTTCCCGGTGCATTTACTGTCCATCGAATGAATGCATTTGTCACCTAAGAATTTAATTTTCTGATCTGGTGAATAAAAAATCCCATCAGTATACATTTTTGATAAAAATAAATTATCATTCTTTAGAAATTTATATAAACCATCATCCTTAATTTACCACAAACGCTTAAAAATCTTTTTTGTTAACAGTAATTTACTCAGAACGAGATTCTTATAAATCAGTACAAACACGAGTCTAAGACTTCTTCACGGAATCATTATGTGCAATAAAAGTTGAAGAACTTATCAGTTCACAAAATAAATAAATTCTCACGAAGTCTGAGCATTAAGCACAAATTTATGATATAGCCAAACAGGTAAGAAAGATTAAGTTATCAGTATCGTTCGACAAAGGTTATTTCATCGACGTAGGGGAACCTGTATGTTTTTGGTTAGAAGAGACAACGAGTCATGTTCAGTTCCCACATTCATTAAATTTCTCGTTTCTTATTTTTGTTAACTTTTAGTATTTACCACCAATGATATTGGAAACATGTCACATTACTGAGGGAAAAGAAAAAAGCTGATGTTAGTAAGAATTAAAAAGAAAAAGTTTAGTATGAGATATTACTTTGTTACTTGGCTCATCCAGAGTAGTCGCTGCGGTTTTATGTACCAATGAATTTTATTTATAATGTTTATTACTTGTAAAAAGTAGAGCCTTTATAACTGAACTGTATCGATGATTTCATTTTTTTATTAGAATAAATTATCCCTAATCTTATTAGATTGAAATTTTCACCATTATCTTTCATTTGCTTTAATAATTAATCTTTATCAACTCATATCCTTACCTCAAAAGCATTTGTAGGAAATGTAAACAATTTAATGAGTAAAAAGAATTTTTTGAGTGGAATTTTCTTCTCAATACTGAAC